CTGTGAACTCTATGCCCTAAAACAGACATTGGTATATTGAGAGATAAGGAAGGGACAGTGTACACAGACTCAAAGTATGCATTTGGAGTGGTCCACACATTTGGAAAAATATGGGAAGAAAGAGGGCTTATAAATACAAAAGGGAAGGAGCTAGTACACGAGCAGCTGATCAGAGAAGTTTTAGAAGCCCTGAAGCTCCCCACAGAAATTGCAATTGTGCATGTGAAAGGACATCAGAGGGGAGCATCGATGGAAATAAGGGGGAATAATTTAGCAGATTAAGTAGCCAGAGAAGCAGCTACAGAATCATCACTGGTAGTTTTATTGGTAATAATACCAGGGGATTATGAGAATTTAGCCCCAAATTTCACAGAACAAGAAAAGGATATACTTAAAAATAAGGGGGGAAAAGATTCAGAAGGAAAATGGACTTTAGCAGATGGAAGGCAGATGTTAAACAAAACAAGATCATGAGAAATTCAGATCATGAGAAATTCTGTCATTAATACATTAGAAAATACATTGGGGAACACAATCACTTTGTGATCATTTCCTTAGACAATATGGGTGTATAGGAATATATATATGGTGGCTAAACAACTAGTTGATCGATGTTTGATTTGTTAAAAAGTGAACAAAAAGGTAATGAGATAAAAAAAAAAAAAAAGGGTGGCTGGGGAATAGGAGCTAGCCATACAAAGCCTCCATGTAGACTTAACAGAGCTACCTTAAATACAAAGGTGGAAGTATTTGTTGGTATTAGTGGCTCACTTAAATCATTGGGTGGAAGCAATCCCCCACACCAAGGGCAATGGCAAGCATGGTATCCAAGGTGTTACTGGAAAACATTATCCCCAGATATGGATTAATAGAAAGAATAGACTTGGGCGGAGGAACATATTTCATTTTAAAAAAATTATACAACAGCTATCTGAAGCCTTAGGGATCGAATGGGCATGGCACACCCCATGGCATCCTCGGAGTTCTGGAAGAGGAGAAAGAATGAATCAAACTTCAAAACAAACCTTGACTAAGTTAATGATTGAGACTCAGATGTCTTGGATTAAATGCCTGCCGTTGGCCTTATTAAGGATCAATACTCAGCCACGAACAGACCTGGGTATATTTCTCCCTATGAAATGATGTTTGGATTACTATGTATGAGTAATGACAGGGATATTGTCATCCCTGAAGTAGGAGATCAGTATGTAAGAAAGTATGTAATAAGAATTGGTAACACTTTACATTGGTAACACTTTAATGAAACTGAGAAAGAAAGGACTTCTGCCTCAAATATCACCATTGGCTTTTAATATCCACAATGTAAAACCAGGTGATTGGGTATTGATAAAAGTGTGGAAAGATTAATCATTAACTCCCGAGTGGGAAGGTCCATTTCAGGTGCTGCTGACCATCGAGACAGCGATCCGAACAAAAGAAAAGGGGTGGACTCTTGCCTCCTGAGGAAAAGGACCGGTGGAAAAGCCTCAGGAGTGGACTGTGGTACCATCAACTGACCAACTACAAGTCACCCTCAAAGGACTAAGTAAATTCATCAGGAGGGGATTGAATGACTCTTAACCAGTGGTTTGACTGGGTTTTTGACTGGGTTCAGAGGTAACACTGTGAAAATTTACTTATTCATTTACTTACTTGCTGTATAAGGAAACAAAAACAAAAAAACAGACAAAACCAAACAAAAAAAACTGTCAGGGAAAAGCTGGCGTTTACCGAGCATTAACTGACAGACATGTGAGATTATGAGCATTTTGGAGTCAATTAGGCATTGCTAGAAAATCAACCTAATTGAGTAATACCTTGTCTCGAGTGTATGCATGGATGTCATGAAGCGTGGGTTTTGTGTGAATGTGAAATGTGTTACCGGATGTGGTATTTCTTGCAGATGGAGAAAATTGTCTTATAACTGTATAGGGAAGGGGCATGAACTGTAACCTTGATTTACGGGGAAAAAGAGGTTAGTCCCCAGAATTTGTGATGTCCCTGAGAGTTGATGGGAGGACACTATCGGAAAGTGCCAAAATTTTGCTTTGCTTAGAAACAAAGGAAGTGGCTACAAAGGAGCTGCACTTGAATTGACTAACTCTTAACACACGGATTTGTTAAACAGTAGAGGGCAAGACCGGGTTAACCTCTGTGCTCGCCACCAAGAAGACCTTTTTCTCAGCTGTGGGCTGCAACCCCATAGGCATGAGAGGTGGGAGTATATGTTATACCGGACCTCTGCTAATCATCCTGGTATGGTTTGCTTTAATAGTGGCAAATTTGTGCAGCAAGTGCTTTACTGTTATGTCCAACATCAGAGTGGCTTTGCTTTCCCAAAGACAGAAGGGTGGATGGAGATATTTTAGTGGGAAGAAGAGAATCCAAGTAAAAGATGTGACAGAAGTAAAACAGTCAGTACCAAAACCGCCGAAAAGACCTATAACAGAATTTTCAACATGGTTAACCAAAGGAGATGGTGGTTTACATAAGCAGATACAACTACATGCGTACTTGAAAGAGGAACATTTACAAGGGCAAAAGATATGTAGTAAAAAGGCAAACAAAGTGAGGGCTACCAACATCAAGGCTGCACAATAAATTGCTGCCCATGCATAAGCACGCTCCATTGTTTTCGCGGTATCGGAGGTACAAGAGTGAGAGCGCGAGTGGCGAACCTGCCTGGTCTGTAGGGATCAGGAGTCAGGGTCCACATACGCAGCAGGAAAATGGATTTCCACGCCCCCAGTCCAAAGCGCATGTGTTGCTGGAGGGTCTCGAAAGTTCGGCTATACCCGGATGGCAAAAACAACTGCCAGGCCCGCCCAGATCTAGGCAGCACAGGCATTCTGGGTGGAAGAGAAACTTCCGCTCATTGCGCACTTGGACCTTCCTCGGTCAAGCCACTAGCCTGGGGCTGGACTATCCCACTAATCTTACTGATCCCACTGGATTGCAATCTTGGGAAGATGGGAGTAGGGGACGATCCTGTGTGCGCCGCCCTGCTGTTGGGATTTTTCATTATATTGGTGGTGACTGTCGTTGCCATCGCGGTATGCGAGGGAATGTCTCGTGGCTGGTGTCGGAGATCACCTCCTCCCCCCAATCCTCCAAGATCACGAAGACAACTAAGACGCCCTCGAAACCTTGATGAGGTGATGGAAACAGACTTATAGTTCAAAGAAGAAAATGTTGTTGATCAGAGGAGTTACCGCGCGGCGTGTGACTGTTGTTCTTGGACTCTTTCTATCTTTCTATCGCTATCGCCCCGTGAGTAAGGGTAACAAGACATCGAAGGACAACATCCAAAGGACAGTGCTGATATCTTTGGTTCTTACTTTTTCTCTTTCTGATTGTGTCGCGTGGGACTTTTCTGGATTGTTATACAGTTAATTATTTCAGGTTCTTGTTTGCTAATAAATTGTTGATTATTGTTTACAGAGTGTCTGATAGTACGGTTGACTGTGCAGTTCGGCACACAGCTCGAATTTGCTTAACACCAACAGGTGAAACAGTAGTAGCAAATTGCATGTTGGTCACAACTTGTTGGATTAACTGAACAAAGCAAGGAATAAATAACACACGGCAAAAACATTAAGGCGACAACTGCACATAGCAGATAGAATAAGAGCTGTTTTACCTATGGTGCTCTGAAAACACCCTCAATGTTAGACTCAGAATGGTGGGATGATCTATTAGGAGCTTCCTGGTGGAAAAGATTGTTGTGAATGCGTTATGCCACGTGAAAACTATGATTGTAATTGTAAGGTATTATCTTGAGAGTGTTATGATAAATGTTGGAATTGTGGAAAAAGGTTTGCTTGCAGTGACGAAAATGAAAGTAGCATCTAATAAACAATAATAGGATAAAAGAAAAAGGGGGGATTGTAATAAACTATGAACTAAGGGTATTGTTTATTGAAATTTATGTTAAGCTCAATGTAAAGGTTAGGCGGCAAAAGACAAAAAACTGCTTATGCAAATAGCGGCCAGACACCGCTTGTGTGAGACAAGATAACCTGTGAGACAAGATGACTGCGTGAGATAAGATGACCTCAATTGCTTACACAAACCAGATACTTGTGCAAGCAGAAGGGGGTACTGATCAAAGACAACCACGAATGTAAAAATGTATAAAAAGGAACTGTTTGAACTGATCAGTATGGCAGTTGGCGGAGCGCAGACTCCCCTGCCGTCCAGCGCTGTCTTTGCTCATATTCTACTTGCTATAATTAATAAAATTATAATTGGATTATGATCCATTGTGGTCTCAATTTATAACATGACCCTCCTCAATACACTGAGCATTACGCTGTATGATATGGAATATTTCACTGGCCAGTTTGGGGCCGATGCTCTGGCCATCCTCCCTCCCCACTTCTTGTGCACCTGCGCAGGGGCAGGACATGGGGAGGTGCAGAGTCCTTGATCTCTCAGCAACATCTGAGAACACCAGTGTATTATCAACATTCTTTGCATACCAAGTCCAGTACTGAATCTAAAATACAGCACTATTCTAGCTACTAAGAAGAAAAATTAACTCTATCCCTGTGGAAACCAGGGCACCTACTGAAAACATAGTAAAAGCTGGTGTCTAGGTCATGACTGCTACATATTACCTCTTGCATCTTCTGTTTGCTGTGAAACCCATATATTAATAAGAATGATTTTAAATTGAATGCTAGAAGAAAGGTGCTCGAAGCCTCTGCTGACATAGTAGTAACAGACTCAGCATTGGTGCTGAATTTCCACCCACATTTTTTTCTTCTCAGTCCTAGCCTTAAAGGTCAGAGTAAGTAGTCACCAATGCCTCTACACCATAAAGAATTAGTGAGCAAATCAAATGCAATAAAGTTATTATCAGTACATATACGCTGGTAATAAAAATGCAGTAGCATAGAGAATACCTAAACCAAAAAGTTATATCCTCAACTGAGAGAAACTGCTGAAGTTAAACTGACTTGGAGATGTTGAAGAAATTACCTCAGATATTTTGTTACCTGGACAAAAACAGAGTAAGTTCCACAGAGTGTCCGTTTCAACTCAGCAGCCACTTTGAGAAAACAGATGATCAACTGCAGTCCACTAAGAGCTATTAGAACAGAAAGTAAAATGATGTTCCACTCCACTACATTAGCAGGTTCAGTACACCGAGACCAAGCAGGGTAATCTGTGAGGTACCTATTGGGAAACAGCAATGTGAAGCAAATTAAATGTGGTGGGTGCAATTCAATTTAAATACACATTGTTTTACCTTTAATACATAGGAAAAAACATATCGGGCTTTACATGCCAGACTCTAGTTTTTCATTATACTAGCATAACTCCTGCATAGGTTTGGCAAACTCATTTGGGTGAGAAGACTTATTTTCCTCAAATACATCTGTTTCATTAATTTCGCTGTTAGAAAGACAATGCCATTTTTTCAAATGGCAGAAGCCAAGTTTAAAACAGGAATTCTCCTTTTATTGATTTAATTTCAGCTTTAGGTTAAGTCTAGCGGATATCAGTACTATGCAGAGAGCTGGAACACCCCAACACCATCATTCTAACCAGTGCGTGCAGCCTAAATGGCAGAGATGTGGTGTCATCACATGAAGTTTCCAGTTGCTCCAGAGCCAGGCTTTGTATCCTTGAGGATCATAATATGCACAACTGACATGTGCCCTTTTAACTGTGAGACATGCTATAGCCTGGAGGTTAACTGCAAAAACCTTTGTTAAACTCAACTGCTCAGTGTTAGTTGCTTTTTTTCTAAACATTCATAACGGAAATGCTTTGAGCCAAATCTGGAATACATTATTCAGCATCTGGCCCCTTACATTAAACTCAAACTTTCATTTTTGTATTTACAAATGGGATGGTAATGCTGGTGATATGTAGCAGAGATTGCAGGATGAACTTTGGTGTTTTAGGCCACAGTTTAGGAGCCACTCCTGTTGGATGCTGTAAGAACTTGTTTGTGATCCTCTGACAAATTTAATCCTTGGGGCATTGAAATGCAGCTGGAAGATCTTATCATTATATGACTTGAAATATTCAAGTCTTATAAAGCTTAGATCTTTTAAAGGGAGAATATAAAATCTTCCAAAAGCAGCTGTATGCAAAAACTACATGTGATCAAACCACAGACTTCGTTGAGCTTTAGGAGTTAAAGAGAAACCTACTGAGTTATTAAAAACAAAAATGCCATCTATAATCTTTGAACCAAAAACTTGAGGAATTTGAGACATCATTCTGAGAAAGAATCCATCTACACTCTAATCTTACATTCTTTACTACTTGAGTGTGACTACCACCAGATAAAGGACACTTAGCTAGATGGACCTCCAGGTCTGAGCAGTACAAAGATTTTTACATTTGATTTTTCTTTAACAAGGAGGAAAATGCCTTTGAGGATTCTGGTGCTAATTCAAGAAGTTGGAAAACCTCACTCACCAATACAGGTCTTGCATTCAAGAGAGTATGCTGTTTTGTGTAAAACTGCGAGAGAATTTGTCTGACTATTGTTTTGATGAGCAGTTTCTTCCAGAAGAGTTACACTGATGTTTCTTACCCTCCAGCAGTGTCTTTGAAGATGTAATCCCATCCATGTGATGAATTGCAGAAGGGACCTTGGATCAATCCCAAGGTAAAAATGATGCAACTATATCCAGAGAAAGCAACTCCAAGCAGGGTTAGCACAATTGAAATAAAACTCTGAAGAGAGAAAAATATTACTGTGTGGGGACAGTGTTCACAGCAAATACAGTCATTCAGCCTGCCTAGCTACTTCCTTGGGGTTGAATTTCACATTTGATTGTCCCAATCTTCAAAATTCAGAAGGAAAAATACCAGGTAAAGAATAGTAAACATACACACCCAAAATAAAGATTAAGCCAGAGTTTAGGACAGTTTCACAACTCTCAGTTAAATATTGTTTGGAGATTTAATTTTTTTTTTTTTTTTTCAAATTGCATTTTGGCAAAATTGTTTCCCAGAATGCTAGAGGAACACAGCCAAGCATTAAACATGTTTGCATCCCAGATAGTGTATATTGAGTTACTACTGAAAAAAATAACTTCCAAATAATACAAGCAAGGGGATGAAGCTATTTAGTTGGGGCACTTAATTGAAACTCTCAGGCCTTCTACATTTTATTTTACAAGGACTTATTTGTTGTTGTTGTTGTTTAATTCTCTTTCACCCTGCTTATGCATCAGAAGGAAGGTGCTACACTCTCTGTGACCTCTCAACCCAACTTAGAATCCTTTTCTGTGAAAGGAAGTGGAAACAGAGCAGCAGAGAGCACAGAAGGATGTGCTGGAAACACAGGAGCAGGAAAGCACTCAGAACAAATGCTAGAGACGTGCACAAAAATAAATCACAGACTCACCCTGTACGTTTTGTTACAGCTCTCACTCTGGCAGCACCGGTAGAACACGCTACACTCCAGTGTTATTAGAATTACTGCCAACAGAAGGATCTGTAAGGGGACGTTACAAGGTCAGTGAAATGACTGCAGATACTAAGCCAAAGTCGTAGTTCCTATCTTCCATAGGTGAATAGATTTGTTATGCTCTGTTGAGACTGTAAAGCTGCTCAGTAGGAAAGCACAATTACTCAAGGTGCACCACAGAATTGGACTGTTTTTATTAGGCTGCCACTGTACTTGTTTCTTGTACTTGAAAGACAAGAGTACAGCATCTCCTACCACAGCAGTGTTACTAGCATATACACAGCTATATCAGTGAAGCTGAAAGAATAAAACCAAGCTCACAAGAATCAATACAAATGAAAGGAAGGATATTTTATTGATGCAACCATATCAGCTCAACAGCTTCTCGCTTACAGTTACATGGATCAGGGTATCGCCTTCCTTACCAACACAGTTATGCTAGAAGTCAGTAGTACAAGTTTTTTGCTAAATTTACCTGGACTTTCATCTGCTTTCTCTGTCAAGTACCTATAGTGTTTTTCTCAGACTATTGGATTATTGAAACCTGATACTAGAGTCATTTCAGTAAGTAAGATTTGGACACTAGAACCACAAACTGCCACTTAGAGAAGCACTGGTTTGAAAGGGGAAATAGGAAAAGGGAATGTTTCTGAGTCATAGCACTATCCTCTCACAAGATGCTGCCCTGTTTGTAACAGGATAATATAGACATTTTTAGTAAATTAGTAATAATTCTAAGGCTAAAAATGCTTCAAAATACAAATGTCACTGTGTAGTTAACTCTTCCCCAACTTTTCAACTATGCTTTTCTGTTCAAATTCTCTACCTGATAGTTTATTACTCTGATAGAAAAGGTAAGGTTTTTCTTCTGCTTTAGGAAGAACACACAATTTCAAAAGAATGTCTCATGTTTTAATAACTCTCCCAGTTCAGCACCTTCATAAAAACACCTTCCTTATGTAGGTGAGACCTTTTTAAGTACTGATTATGTACATGCACTTTGATTACATAACTTCTTTCTGTCCCTGAGGCTACAGTTCTTTATGAACATAATAAACAGTATGAGCAGCGGGCAACTCTCTGTTAGCTTACTACTGCAGATGAGCATATTACAAATGTAATGGAGAAAACCTACTATGCCAATCACAGTGAGACAATCTTCTGTATTTAGCCTAACAACAGTGGCACCTGATGCACTGTGAACTGTATCCAGTCCTCTAAATATGGGACTGCATACAGTTCTTACAAACATCTAATAGTTATGAGAAGCTTTTTTAGTTTTTGTTTCATTTTGTTTTGGTGAAAGAGCTCTAATTCAACCTCCATGGAGGATTAAATCCACATAGTGCCTGCCTCCATAATACAAGCATAAATCAGACAAACAAAAAGCCAGCAGAAAAAAAAGAAAAAAACAAGATCACTTACTTGAATTTAAATAGTATACATAGCATGTCATTCAGTATATTTACATTTTTTTCAGTTTGATCGAGTTTTTCTGCCTGCAGTTTTTTTGCCAAAGTAATGTATATTCTCTTTAAAAGCACAATTATGTTGCTACACAGAAACCCAAAACTATTTGCAGTAGAATGCAATTAACTAAAAAAAAACATAGAAACAACACTTACCATCACACCTGAGAAACAGATGCCTTCAAAATACCATACATAGTTGGGAAGCTGGTAACTGGCAGCATGTGAAGCTTTCCCATTAGGGAAGTATAATAGGATGTTAACAACAATACTCCAAAGTGCAAGAGGTATCAGCAGACAACTCAGACAGCTTCCACATGTCTCTAAAGCCATCTCTCAAGAGCTTTAGAAGTTTTGCTCTTCTAAAATAACAAAAGATTACAAGGTTTTAAACATGTGAAGCGTTTTGATCTCCTCAGCTTGATGCAGTCATTTCATATTCACAGGAACCAGGTGACTGGGGTATGATTCCAGAGATAGAGAAGTGCTTAACAGTTAGCAGAACAATGGATGAATATTGCTGTCTAAACTCATTGTCCTTTCTAAGCGTATGTCTTTAAGTAACAGTTTCCCTTCTAAAACATCCCCCTTTGTGATCTTCCAAACGAAATATGTCTAGAAGTCAGACTCAGGAAGGAACTTCAAAAATCTCATTTCCTAGCGACTGCTTAGAAATGCACTCCTCCTGAGAACACAGATTACGATGCAAATATTCTGCTAAGATTTTACTTCTACCTTACATGGGCAAGTGGGCTATCAAATGATAAACATGTCCAGTCTCTGTACAAAAGGCCATGCATTGCCTCACACTACAGAGAATTAATACCAGAGCTTGGCAGATATGGCCCTAAGGGTGAACCAACACTTGCTTCTATCTTGGGGCAGCCTCACAAAAACACTATGCTGAGCCTCAGCTACTTTGCAGGGACTACAGAAGCCCAAATAACACTGGTTAGAAAGTGCCAGGCAGACTTATTGTCACACTTCAATTACTCTTTTCCACAACATTATGCAGCTCAACCGTTTTATTAATTAAATCCTGCTATTTCTCCAGTTGTTTTATTCTGTGCTTACAACTGAGTATGCATAGCTACAGATCTGACCTAAGTACATGTGACTTCTTGGGCAGAACAAAAGGTCTGGCTGTTTTTTGAAATGCCTGCCATTTTGCGCTGTGCAAAGCCAAAGCTGGACGGTTTCCTCATTTTCATGTGTCATCATTCCCTAAGCAACTAAACATTCAAACATTCATCGCAGTAACACAGAGCCAGAGCTGTTTGAATGCTCACAGCACAACCCAAGCCTTCTTTCTATGCCCCTGTGAGTCATCAGAAAAGGAACTCAAAAATAAGCTTTGGTTTACTCCATAGGAAAGTTGTAGTCAGAACAACAAAAAAAATGGGGCTTTATCAAAAGCAAGGCGGCTGATTTTAGAAGCAATGATGTCATGGCATGTTTTCTTTCCATTTCCTTATGAGCTGGTTTTAGGCTCTGTACACATGAGGCTTCTCTCATGATGTCATAAGAACCATTTAGGTTGCATGTTGTAACTAATTCCTTCCTATTGTTTTGAATGAGATCACCCAAGGAAACGGGCATGGTGGTACTCATGCAACTACACCATTTTTCTACCTGTTCTCTTATGTGACTCTCCCATTTCCCTCTCTTCTTTTTCTAGGAGGTTTCATTTTGAAGTCCTCAGACTTTACTCTGAGGATCTTTCCATAGCTCCTGTTTTACTCCCTAATCACTATGGACACTTTTTTCAGGCCTCCCTCTAATCGAAATTAGTGGCAAACCTCCTTTTGCAGGCTTACAGGCATGGACAGCACTCATATAATAATACTGTACCTTACAGATCAGAGAAAACAGCTGAATTAAAAGTAGGCACATCACATCCCCAGGACTGATTTTGTTTGTTTGTTTGTTTTTTAATTACAAAACTCAGAAATCATGTCATAGGCTGAAATCCTGTTTTCTAAAAGCGAAGGCGGTTTATTTTATCATCAAATTTGCTGCTACTTCCCATAGTAATCTGTTCCAATTAGAAGAAACTTACTTGGAAAAATGACACTTGGAACATCATTCATTCTGCAGTACAGTGTCCCACATCACGACTGACTTTGTATTTAAACTGAGCTCTCCAAATACCCAATCAAGGTGTGTTTTTTGCTGGCACACTGCACTGCTAGAACAGGAAGCAACCATTTTATACTAAGTATTAAGCAAACCCAGCAAACAGTTTCTCAAATATCTTAGCAAGTGTTGCAAGAACTGCTTTCCCGTTGCTGTCAATATTCATGAGTTGATGCCGAGCCTGTTACCGAAAAGCCATGTTTACTCTGGACAAGTGACTCCTCTGCTAACTGAAATTAATATAACCCAAACCAACTGCTTCCCCACCATGCAACCGATAAAACTCCCAAAACACTGTCTTATGCATCAGGCAAAGGAATTCAACTGTCTTTTTTTTTAAATTACAACATAAATGGTGAGTAATGCTGTGTATTAGGTGCTACGTGGTTCCGAGCTAAAGTTTTAATCCTAAACTCTAGCCTAATCATTCTGTCCATTGGAATTTAAAAAAAAAGTTTCAGTTCTTTAATTAGTTGTGTGTACAAGGAACAACTATGCAAGCACAAAGGCAAAAATCTGTAGAGTTGTGTGGGAATTTTACCCTATTCTATGGAGACCCTCTTTTCCTTCTCCTCTCACTCCACTCTTAAAGATTCTTTTTCGAACAGTGCTGATTCATATACAGAGACACTGTACTGCACAGCTGCAAGGAATTTTGTGTGTTTATATACATGTGCACATGCATATTCTCTTTCCTCCCACAGCAGGGCAAGACAGGGATAAACTCAACAAACAGAAACAGTATTAAAGACTGCCCTCAACTACTTCTGTGTATTTATGTATTAATAAATGATATTGTCCCGAGATTCTAAACACAAACTCTTCCCATCTGTGAGTTCTTTTGATGCTGTTAGTGTGCACATGTAATTTTGTTTTCACAGTTTATTTTTTTCAGATATGTATTTGTGCTGGACAGACTTGGCTGTGAGGACAGCCTGAGACAGACCTTAAGTTTCTGGCTACCCTTAAAAGCTCACCCACCTAGTTACAATAATACTAAGTACACACTGACAGCCATGGGAAATTCTTTTTCTCCCATAAACAGAACCTAACTTACCTGTTTTCAAAGATTACATTAACTGCTAGATTCCAAAATTAAGCAATAACGGTAATCAGCCTAATTTCTTTGAAATAAATCACACTTTGTTTTTCACTTGAAAAATGCCATTGCCAGCAGCCTACTGACCTTGCCAGCAATACTGTTGACAGCATATCATTCAGATTTACTTTACCTTGTAATAAAACGTGCACTACAATATGCTACAAGATACACTTCAGAGGTTCTTGCACAGGATCTTAGAATATTGCCTCCAGGCTGCTTACTGGTGAGGTCAATTATTTCAGATTAATCTATCACTGCTGACCTGAATTTGCACTGTATTTTCTGAACACTGCTATGCCTGGGGGTCTGCTGAGGTAAAAAACAGGACCCAGACCCACATTGTGTTTTGCCTCAAGACTCTGACTAAGCAGGCAGGAGAGAAGCCCCTCTTGGGAGGGCAGCAGAAGGGACACAGAGCTGTCGCTCAACTGCACAGCAACCTCCCTTCAGTCCTTGGAATGGCCATCAGCACTGAACTGCTAGCCCAGACCCAGGACTAAGGCTCTGTGTATGCAGCTGGATCCGCCACGGAGCTGTCACTGAACTACCATACTCTTGTTGATGCACAATTGCCTGGCTCAGCTAAATGATCTAAGCCAAACAGTGAAGCAGTTCCCACTCTGACAGAACCTGCTAGAGAGGAAAAGTAGGTTATAACCTGATTGCTCTCATGCCACCACTCTAAGACCAGGAAAACAGTGTTTCAGCATGGGCAGGGAAAGAATCACTGACACCTGCTGGGTATTTTTAATACAAATCTTTATTTGTGAAATACAGGAGAAGTTCAGAAAAATCCTGAAAAGGTGAAGTGCATGTATCTGCCCTCGATCATCCGCATTTTACTGCTCCTTTGTTTTTGCTCCAGCTGAGTATTCATTTATATCCAAGCCAGACTAGATTGGGTTTCTGTTCATTCCAACATCAGAATGAAAGTGCAACTTTATTGGGAAAGCAGCATGAAGTACAGAATTGTTGTGTCAGTAGAAAAAAAAAAAAAAAAAAAAAGCATCTTTAGTGACGTGTTCAGGTAGTTCCCATACTAAGATGAAATGAGCCAAAGAAATTCAGAATGCATTTTGCCTTTAGATACAGGCTGGTTAGTGGAAAACATGCATACGACTCCAACAACAAAGGCTGGCCCCAAGTCAGTTAAATTGATGGCAACAGCACAGTTTGACAACAAACAATGTGCATTTTAATATGCATGGAATATAAAAAACCCAAACAGACCACACACATGCACCGATGTCAATGCATTGTCAGGTTTCTAGCAAACATATGTCTGTGGGGGGAACAAAAAGAAACAAACACATATTAATGGGAAAAATGTTAATATCATATCCAACTATAAGAGCTAAAATTAACCTGACCACATTTGGACAGCCATAGCATGGCTCTTTTAAAGCCATACTATACGCTTTAAAGCCATTTTGAAAGAGCCACAAGATTCAACTATGTCAATTAAAAATGTGAAACATTCTTAGCCATAATGTGTGTGTGATATAAATCATATCTGGTTCATAGCTTAAGCCACTGCAATTCCAACACTACTGCTACAGTACTGATTTTAACAACATGCTCAAACTGTTTAACAAGACTCTAAAGAAATTTGGAAGACATTCCCCTTCCTCATTTAAAAATTCTTCAGATCTGTCTGTAGGTTTTGTTAGCTATGTGCAGTTTATTTCCTCCTCTTTTACTAAGCAATGCCAGGATGCTGCAGAAAGCAATATATTCAGAACAAGTGGCCTACCACAAAACTGCATCACACTTTGCTACAATGGTTTAGGCCATTGGCAAAGACCACCACCATCATGAGATTTGTATTTCAGTTATATCGCCTATATGATGCTAATGACCATGTGTGCCATAAGGGGAAAAAAAAACCTTCCAGCTCCTATGCAGACTAACTTCACTAACTAACAGCTGAGGAATCAGCTGAAAGCACGTGTTCAAATGCAACATGAAAATGTTTAACAAACAGGGCTATAAAAAAAAAGTAATACACTGAATTGTCACTAAAGAATATCTTAAAAAATAGCTGCTAAGACTCCACAGTAACATCAGTAACAATAGTGTTTTGTATTCATCTGAGAAGCATGGTTATAACTATGAATGGCTTACCTCCTCGTGACTGCAGCACAACCCACAGACTCCTCCAAGAATGCCATTGATTATCTGTATGAAGCACAGAATGAACTCTATTCCTCCCACAACAAGGAGGATGGAAAAGAGGGTGACGTTCCACTGCACGATATTTTGAGGTTCTTGACATTCAGACCACTTGTTATACTCAAACAAGTACCTGTACATAGCAATTAAAAGCATATTAACATTGTGATGGAGTGGGATACTTACCACACACTAGAACCAAATTACATCTAGTCTGTAACTGCATTGGGGATAATCACTCAAAGTGGGAATAGAAAATTCCTTGCAGTTTACTCTGTTTAAGAATGCATTGAACCATCATCCACACATTTTTAAGTCTTAAATTTCCTTTAAAAAAATATCTAAGCTATAAAGGCAGAATCTTCTATTACTGATTACAGTGAGACACAAGCTCAAAAAAGCTGAAAGAGCAAAGTTATTTCTCAATACCGCAGAGCTTTTCAGGACTGAGCCTTTATTCTAAAGATAGCAACTACTGATCTGAAGCATATGGGTCACTTCATCTCTTGTGCTGCTGTCTCTGAGCCCTCACATGCCTACTCTGGCAGAGCCAAACACAAAACAAATTCAGAGGGGTACTGCAGTATTCCAGCTGTTACTCCTCACCTACATCTTCGGACCATCAGCACTGATGAGCCTTCAGCAGGGACTTAACTCAGTTCTATGGGCAGTCGTAGTTGCAGGGCATCAGGGAGGAGGAATGCCCCCTCTTGAGAGGGACGCAACTGAAATGTATAATTCAAACTCTCTGCTGCAAAGGAGCTTTATGTGGCTTCTTAGTAACTCAAACTGTCTCTAGTCTGTCACCAGCCTTTGTTACTAGAAACAGCCTTGAGGTACCAACCATACAGACACTGTAAAAGCATGTCATGATTCAAACCAAATCCTCTTCCAGCCTACAAGATTTGTGGGGATTAATGGGGAATAGCATACAACTCAGCTACATAGGCTTGGTTTGATGGAGAATCCTAATCAGGGATAATTAAGACCTTCTGGTCCTCCCCACCCTGCAGTATACAAAGATTCTTATAAACATTTTCTATTTTAATTTACAAAAGTTCTATACTATTGTCACTAATGAAAGTATTATGCCACTTTGGTGCAAAGCAACTTCAGAAGCAAGCCTCACAAGACAGATTCTTACACAAATAAAACAAATTTCATAATAACTGCTATACATAATTTGTAAATCCCTCAAAGTCCTAAAACTTTATCTTAGAGATGTTCATGGACATGAACAGTATATGGTATACAGATATTATTACCCCTCTCTCTATATATGTTCAGACACCTTCTTGTAGGACAGAGGATTTATGTTGGGTTTTTTTATGGTATTTTAAACTGAAGCAGTGTGGGTAACTGATGCCATCTGTTTAGTTCTCTGAGTGAGAAGCATAAAATTTTGAATGGATCTTGGCATATGGTTATTGGATATTGCTGGAAGGTGCTGGAATAAAGCCCATGTGTACATGGGGGAAAGATACAACACCCTCATGAACAGACAACTTACCCTCCAGAGGATTCAGTGAAAGGATACATCCAGTTTCTTCCTAGACGAGTAAAACAATACGGTCCATGAGACAAGCCCAGTGATGAAATGATTATACAGTATCCAGAACCAAGGATCCCTATAAAGGCTGCCAGAACTGAGGAGAGCAACTGCAGAGCAAACAAACATAGACGTAAACTTTCAGCATGGCCCTCACCTTGTCTTTGGGATTATCTGGGACTGGAGGATAAAGACTCACTTACCGCACAGCTTTTACCACAGTCCTCATGTGCATAACACCCACAGCAGTCATCATTGTGAAGCCCAATGAATACTGCAGCTGGAATAAGTACCTAGGTAGAGAGCAAACCAACCACACCATTCTATTTTGCTACACAGACAGGGCAGATAAAACACAGTCCTCACATTGCACTAATTTATATTGCTTCTTGGCAGGGGGCTGGGGGGCAGCCTGCATAGATTATTCAGTTTTACTCCTATTTAACACAGTAGGCATCTCACTAGTGATATCAGTAGCACCATCTCCAGGATAGGTGTGTTTCTACTTCCATTTCGTGTGCACACAGCTCTTAAGTGCATAAAGAGCTTGTCAATAAAGAGCCTGCTGTGGTATTGCTGCAATTTAAAGTACTTCAACATTAAAAGGTTTTGCTCACATTAAAGGCTGCATCCTACAAATAAAATGCTTTGCAAAAAAAAAAAAAAAAAAGCATTCACTTTCTGTCAAATGAGGACTACAAGATAAGTCTCTTGTAATTATTTGTTTTTAAAAAAAAAAAAACAAACAAACCAACTACTACGAACATATATTTACTGAAGAGTAGTTGTCACTGCCTGTGTGACAAACCAGTCTGACTATAGTAGAAAGTCTAGGAATATTTTCCCCAATACAGGCAAACATCTCATCACAGACACATAACTTTTTCTAGGTATTCACAACCAGTTTTCAGTGACAGAAATGCAAAGTAACAAAGCAGAAGCTATCAGTAAGAAATATAAATCATACATACTCCAGAGCTTTTAACATAAAATCAAGAAGGAACAGAGTTCATTAAACAGACTATCCTCCCCCCAGCACTAACAGGACTTAATAATAGTTTGCACTTATAAAGACTCTACACCCAGGAGTACCTTGGAAAACCATAAAGAGCAAAGTGTTAACTGCAAACTGCGCAGATTTACTTAACAAGACACTAACTATCCAGTTGAACAGTGATATTCTTGTCAGTCCTTACTCAAACCTATTGCTGAGCCTCAATGCTGCAGGGTCCAGAAGAGGTTGTACAAGTGTGTTCCAGGAGCAGTTCCATTGGCTTCACTTGTATTGTTATGTGTGTAAAGCCCAGTCCTTGCAAATACCAGTCTAGGCTCCAATGGGGCTGTAACACAGCTGTAAGCACCTCTCACAAGATGGGGGACATTATCATGCAATCATTTTCAACCTGTGATTTGCAGACACCTTGAGATCTGTAGTTTATTTCTAAGACAACTTTTAAAGGCAAATGAAAAAGGAAGCTTGGAGTCAAAGTACTTAAATATGCTACAGTATGGCCCACAAAATTGAAAAGGTAGAAAACAAGAGCTTCAGATTAACAGTGCCCTATAATCAACATACTCAGTTCTTCATCCTTTGCTGTTACTCGAATGTAAAGCTTCAGTAACTGCTACTCAATTCCTCTGAATAAAGAGCTAAGGCAGAGAAGTAACTGTCAACATCTCAGATAATAGAAATCAAGGAATTGTAACTAAATGCTAGTTATCTATGGACATTTAAAAGGAGACTAGTTCAATAATACAGCAAAAATGTAAGATTTAACCCTTTATGCAAACCATGACCTGCTGAGAGGTTTGGCTCCATTTGTGCCTCTGGATTCTGCAACCTAGACCCTATGATTTTTCTCACCTTTAACGTGACATAATGTTGCAGATAAGATAACCAATAGTAACTAATAATACTTACGGGGTAATATAGCTAATTTCTTTTGATATAAGTCCAGAGATCCTTGCTGATGAGATATTTGATTAATAACGTAACTGGTAAAACAGTAGTACCAAGTAGCTCCAAAATAAACATGAAAGAAACGACTAGCTCATTACTTACCAAAAAGCCTCCACCTAGAATGCCATGAAGGCATTCCACGTATTTGCCGAGATGATGCTCTGAAGCAAATCTTGTTTCACCATTGGGAAAATAAAGTAAAATGTTGGCCACAATGCTGAGCAAGGCAAGGATGAGCAATTTATAACCAATACATCTAGCACACCTTCCAAAACACATGTCCTCAGCTTTACAAATCCTCCTTTCACTAGTCCAATCCAACCTATCTCATACCTGTCCACACCTAAAAGAAGATCAGCCTTTATTCTCACCTCCTTAAATACCCAGGGTTACCTAGTTACCTGGATGATGTTTACACCTCTTCATAACTACCATTCCCAATTGCAGAATGAGGGAACAGGGATGGCAGAACGCCACCACCCTTTTTAAATACAGTAATTGTGGACAAACATAGTGCAATCAAGGAAATACTGAATACTAGCTAATTTCACTCTAATGTATGGTGCTTGGAATGATCACCAGTGAACATGATTAGACATGAACAACAGGCTTAAACCACAACACAAGGTCTATTAGGAACTGAAGGAAAAATGTTTTGTTTTCTTTGTTAGAAGCAGCTTTGACTTTTCGGTTTATAGAATGATTCAGAACAACCTGAAGCCAGGGAAAGACTCATCTGACTTCAACAGTATTGAGTCAGAGTTTTGTGTATGAATAAAATAAGGTCTACAGCAATGAGGAGTATGTAGAGCAACCTCTTGCTTTGCTATCCTGTTGATGGAATAAGAGCAAACCTCATCAGGAGGTTGGAAAACAAATAAAATGGACAGGTAAGCTTTCAAGGAGTGTCCTTGCTCTTGCCATTGTAAGACAAGCTGACTTTAGATTAACTGGCATTCATTAAAGCTAAACTGAGCAAACACTGCTAAAAAACCCCACTGCTTCAAAAGAGGATTATAAAATACAATATTTGCACTGAAATTTCAACAATTTAGAAACACAAAAAAGAAAAACCCCAAACAAAGACAAATGTATCGTATCAGGGGTTTCCAAACTGTGTTACATATACCAGTAACATTAATTAGTATAGTAAATGAGATACAAAGTGACCTGGAAAAATTAAGATCTAGCCTTCTCTCTTTTCCCTCATGCAAATTTTGCTAAAATAGTCAAAAGCTTTCTTCTTCACATACATACAGCTCAACACAGAGGTGTAAGCTGCCGTGGCCACTGCTATCACATGATAGAAGATAACTAAGAAATGCACAAGCTCAGGCTAGATTCAGGAGGTGATGCTGCTGCCATCATCATAATACAGTGTAATTCTCATTGCAAAACCAGTAGCTAGACAAACTGAGTTTGGGAATATACAGGATGTGAGAAGACTATAGTGAGACTTTTTCATTTATTTAGGGGGAAAAATACTAATTCAGGGTTTTTTTTTGGTGGTGGGGGCTGGGATTTTGTTTGGGGTTTTTTGTTTGGGTTTTTTTGTTTGTTTGTTTTTGTTTTGTTTTAAACAGCTAAATAACACTGTAAACAAAAGTCCAAATCAAATCCATTCTTGCAAGTGATGTGAGCAGCACTTAAGCTGAGAGAGCGGATGCAAAAAGAAAAGGTGGGGGGGGAAGAGAGCCGTCTTGTGCAGATGTGGTTTTGTGATATAACTTCTCCGGGTATTGTAACTGTTGACCTTGGAGACTTCCTTCATTATGAGAAATATCCTCCAATTGTAGAAACACATGCTTACCATTATTGTGCACTTCACCTCTGATGACTAAATCAAGCATAAACATCATCCTGCAAGTTTCCTCTGCAGAAAGAGATGGCTGCTCAACTGAAACCTCCCTTTATTGTGTTATGCTAAAAAAAATCCAAACCACTCCCCACAAAAAACACTACCCAACACCCTCTCCCCCCACCCCAACCACACCATACATATGGCCACTGAGAAGTAGATTTAAAATCTGTTCTATTTGTAAACCTGCATAATTGTTTTCTAAACACTTTATCTGAAATAAAATTTCACATAATCAAGAACTTCCTATTTTTAAAATCAATTCTGTACCGTATCAAGCATGCAGGATATTGCATGGGCATTTCAGTCTGCAGTGACTACCCCCCTGCCCCCCCAATACAATAGCAGTTCAGATCACTCTCCTATATAATCAAATATGTTACAAAATTCTTGAGATTGTATAGTTCTCCTGCCTGTTTGCTTCATAAATCCTAATTTTACTGCTTGCCAAAGTGAGCAGTGGTGGATTTTTGGGACGTGTCATGGGCACGTAGAGTTTTTAGCGATGAACCTGGCCCACATGTAAGCAGTAGCCAAGCATGAGCTTCTCATCAACCTGAGGAGCATCAAGGCCCAAACTGCAGCTTGTGACATGCTTCAGCACCATGAGATGGCAGAGTTCACACTAGTATAAACAAAACCAGAATCAGGTTTTGAGTCTTTTATACAAGAACCACAGTGTGTGCACTTAAAGAGGTAAGATAATTGCTTACTCTTTCCCAGGTGCTTCCCTATGGCCCACGGGAAACTCTATTATTTCTCTCTCACAGGTCTATTCCTGTAGCTCTGATGCCTGTCCTGGACAAAGGACTCATATTGAAAGGCAATCAATCACCCGGTGTTATTAGAGACAATAGAAGTGTAATTCTAGGCTAAAGCATAACTTTAGACTGTAGGTCTAGTCCTCAGCTCTGGCTGAGAAGCCCCTACTGCAGTGAGGTACAGGAAGGACAAGACAATCAAAGGTGCAGTGAAGCAATTTTGTTAGCACACTCTGAAGTCCAGCAGGTAGGACCCACTGTGAAAGACTTCCATATCCTCTCCTGACAGAAGGGGGACAGTTTATAAACAATTACAGCAACTGGGTTGTATCCCCAAATCATCAGTTCTGCAGGATAAAGTTTGTCAGTAGTGCTACACGGGTCAGGACACTGACCATTCATGCCAGAGAAGTGGCTAAAATTAGGTGCCTTGTCCAATTACCGAGGTATCTAATACCAAGCCTAATTTTACATGGGGTCCAAAGATCCAGGAGCCTCCCTATACAACAAAACCCACCACCTCAATAGTCATTGTTGCTTTGGTTCTTTTATTGCAGCAGGACAACAGAAGCCGCCTTCTTTCACAAAATAAAGATGTTAGAAAGACACTAGTGTTTCCTGATGCCAAAAAGTGAGATATCTAATAAATAGCAGAAGAGGTCTCTACATTCAAGCTCTGAAAAGCTGAGCATTAACTAGCATTCTGTACCTGCTCCTCAACCAGCATGACAGGAGTAGCAGAATCACTTTTTCCAGCTCAATGATGTATTAGAAACCCTTGATATACTTTCGGACAAGTCCCAAGTTCACCTATTGTAAAGAGGAGCAGTTTATCAAAAAACTGTCAAAGTTCCCACAACTTGCAAAGTTACTAAATACTTGCAGAGTGGGGAAAAAAAAAAAAACAACAACAAACCCAAAGCCCCCCAGACCACAGCATTTTATCAAGAAACCCATGAAGTATCACATTTCTCCTACAAAAGCAAATTACTTCAACTACAACCACATCTAGCACCTCCGCCCTAAGCTAGATTCCCAAAGTAATTCATCATCATCAACAGAAGAAACTGAGTTGCAACAACAAAGAAAAGTGGCATACAAAAAAGGAGATCTATGAACGCCACTAACATATTTTAATGCCTACCGTAATCCTGGAAACATCCATATCAGTCTACTGAAGAGGAAATCAATGTGGGGCCAGGGGTAAGGATATCTGCAAGATAAATACAGAAGTGGTCAGACAGACCCAGACCCATCACATTGGAGTAAGCATGCTGTCAAGAACAAGGTCACACAGACGAGGCTCCGTTCCCCTGACTGGACACTGGGCATGCTACCATATTTGAATTTGTTGTACATGTATGCTGTAAGGCTCTTGTGCTGTAAGGGTGCCCGAAAGCCCTCTTTCCTTAGCTCTCTGGCAGATGGTCAGGGCAGTCTGGCTGCTATTCCCTTCATGGAAGTGAGATTTTTATAGCTCAGCTATCCTAAGACTCCAGTGTTAATTTTGCTAATCCTCCCTAAACTAAATGTTGCTTTTTCTTTTAATTTATTTTTTTGCTATTTTAGCACCTAAGGAGGTTCTCATTTCTTATAACCAGACAAAGGAGAAAACATTTGCAATAAATGTTTCTGCTACCAGTGTTTTCTAAGCAAATCTAAACAATCTCCCGATTTAAATTAAAGATGCCAGAAAAGACTGAAAGATGTTCCTCCACTGAAAAACATAATGCGGTTCTTGCCAATATTTTCTTCTAATGCTCCAAATGGTCAGTCCTACTGCTTTATACTGTCCTATAGCCACCCTTAGACATGGTTTGGTAAAAGACACAGTAGTAATCAAGAGACACAGCTGAAAGAGACATGACCAATGTCTTCCAATTCCCTTGAAAACAATCTAAAGAAAAAAAAAAAATCAAAAAACCTTGAAGCAACTTAATTTTTTTTACATTTAAAAAACCGGTCAGATGTGAATCAAGGGGGCTTTAACAATATCATTGCCATTAGGACATTCTACACTACAACTTCTACCAGAGAGTTTCTCATTATAACTTCTCTTGCAAAACTTCTGGTCCCACCCATTGCAAAAGGTTAATGGGAGGGAAGTACCTCTTGTGAAAGCACTGTCAGGGTGTGGTACCTGCGTGACACCTGTAGATGAGACACAGCCTATGAAATAATTGCATGGGCTGCACAGATGCATTTGGAAAGACTGGGCAGCACAACGCAAGTGTATCGACACAGGTTATGAATTCACACTTGTATTCCCTTATAAGCTATTCTCATTTGTTCTTCTCTTACTGTTTAGTAGGTTACTGCTCACAGAGGTAAATACTAGCTCAGGCAACTGCTGAGAATGTATGATGAATATGCAGTCACCCGCCAGCTAAATTAAGGGAAGCCTTTTGTCTAGCTGTTTAGACAGAGCTCCCAGTGACCTTAGGAACACCTATGACTCCCCTTCAATCAAACGGAGAAACACCCATCCATGCTACCAACCATTTCTCAATGTCCAAGTGATGCACTGCTCATGTTTTCCAGCCATTCTCCACAAAACCACTATGCTGTAGCTACAACTGCCCTCAGGCATGTCATCTCACCAGTGCATGTCAATCAGCAACCTCTACCCAGGAAACTGCTCCCCTCAAGTTCTTGGTGTCTATGGTCTCCTGGCCACAACCAGAAGAAAGTTTCCAGATTACCTTTATTAATTACATGACAGCTCCTTGGATGAATTAATGAGCTACTTCTGAGGTGGAGCAACCACCTCTTGCCATAAGACATATGCCTGACCATAAAGCAATCACTCCTTA